ATTTAAGTTGTTTAGTATATTATGGACTTTCAGTTGTCATTTTTCAATTCTTACATCACAACTTTAAGATGAAGATGTTGGGGGAGAAGCAGTTTTGTTTGGTGTTTCGTCAGACTGATGAAGCCTTCTGGATGGAAGGCAAAATGTCTTGGCACAAAAAAAAAAAAAAAAAACATCCATATGACCTGACTGAAAATTGTTGCATTTTACACCTGGATTATTGAGCATGGACTTTGGTACTAGAGAGTATAGTTTATAGAGTATAGTTTCATTTAAAGACCTATTTATGTCAAATATTATAATGTAACTGAAATGCCATTTCATATAGATGTTTCTTGTTAGAGTTACATTTGTGAGGTTTTGTACTGAAATGCTCTTAAGACAAAGAGAGAAGAAGAAAAGAGAGTTGATGGAATGAGTTATTGTTGAATTGAGTTTGAAAATCAAGAAGCTAAAAGGAGAACCTGCACCAAACAGATGGCAATTTAACACACTTGACATAAAATCAAACATAGAGTATATTAAACATAAATTTTTGGTCCAGCCTTGTAAAAGACGTGTTCTATCTCATACAATATTGTGAGCTGTAACTCAAAGGTTATTTTGGGGATGACTATCAGCTACTACCACACAACATTTAGCCAAGTGTCTGAAAAATTGATGGAGCCATCTCTCCACCTGCACCAGCTGAGTGAAGCGAGCGCGCACAGGAGGACTCACTGTTGCAGTTCTTAGAAATTTAAAGTGTCAGTCAAAAATTGTGTTATGAATATGGAAAAAAAAAAAACGTATATAAGTCACATGACTGACAAATCTATGCAAAAAAACTGTGATTTATACGCTGGCAAATACGGTGTGTGTTTGTCTGGACTTTCAGCTACTATCACACTGTTTCTTAGCTCAATATCTGTGTTTGATTGCATTATAGCCATTTTTGTGCTGGCTGTTGTGAATTAGCTGAGGTGGCCATACAAATCTAGAGTGACTCCTAAAGTTAACCAGTTGTAGATGTACATCCAACAATTAATACATGAAAGTTTCATTAAGATTTATCCACTGGTTCATGACATATTTTGCTAACAGACATGGAATACTATAATAGTTAAGGACAACGTTGAAAAAAAACGTTTACCGTAGTTTTATGAGTCAGTGCTTTTAGCATAAGTTGGAGACTAGTCTCAGGAGCAGCTACACCAAATTCAAGCTCTGCATCTAAGTCTAAGCTGTTTTGGGGTTTGCCAAGGTTGCTTATGTGCGGTGGCCATCTTGAACATGGTATAAAAGTTCTATCTTAAGCTAAATAAATGCATTTAATTAAAAACTGACACAAAAGCTGTCAGGGTAAAGAGATGCCTTATCTTGTTTGCTCTGTATTTTACATCAACTGTGCAGCAGGTTTGGTTGTAGCTGCAGAGGCCATGAGGGCACTTCCAGCGAAAAACTTCAGAACATCCTGTAGTGGTTTCAGATTGCAGTCTCAGATTGGCTGGGGCGGGGGAGCCACGGTTTATATAGGCCGTGACATGATTCCTCAGAGCTCATTCTGTGGAATCACTTCAAGCGCTACCAGAGAATTTCTCTCCATCAGCGTGTGAAGTCAGCACGCTTTAAAGAGTATTCCACAAAGGTTCAGACTGATTTCATGCTCTAAAGGTGTTCAGTGTATTTATAGAGATATGTGATCTTTTAGTTTGGAATGACCACAAACAGATAAATTCTATAGTTAGAACATTTACAACGTAAACCAAGGTGAATCCTTCCAGCTGTTAAGTTTCTGCTTCCTTCCTTTGTGTGTAGCTCAGACTTAATCTGATGCAGTTTTGCAGCAGCCTGCACTTATTTGATAGTCACAACATCTAACATTGTCCAGACAAACCCACATCGAACACCTGTATATTTGAAATGAAGCAGAAATATGATTCAAATGCTGATGGATCGTTTCTAAAGACAAACAAAAGTTGGAACATTATGAAAAGTAGAGGGAATGTAAATGTTGCATATCTCATTAGAGAGAAAAATAAAACTTCTGAGGGGTATTTCATAGCAAGAAGCAAGTTAGAGAATCTCTTAAAGCTCCACTGTCAGAGGGAAACATTAGGAGGTTCCATGTAAACCGGCAGCTTCTGCTTGTAATAGTGTTGGGTTTACTGCAGATTTCTGCTCTATCCTATAAAAAGTTAATGTGTTGCTGCGTGCACACTCTTGTAATGTGGCTGTCTATGCATGCTGCAAAGTCGGAAGACTTCTCTGAGGTACAAATACAACCAGAACATGTCACAACACAAAAGCAATGGTGCAAGTCCAAATCAGACCGGTTTGTTTGTTTTCTTGCATTGATTAATATGTATTTATATAGAAAGCCCAGGTGGGTGAACCACAGGACAAATATTATTCAAACTTACAGAATGTAATCATTGAGTGTATATCTGAGAATGAATATATGAGTCAACTTGATTCAAGATGGCTGCCACAGCCAACTGACCTGAAAAAATGTAAAGTGGCTATAACCCGGCTAATTTTACAGATACTGGCCTAAAATTTGGTGTGGTAGTAGCTGAGGCAGATCCCAATATAAATTCTGAGCACAGTCAGATTGTGCTAGATGCATTCCATCCATCCATCCATCCATCCATCCATCCATCCATCCATCCATTATCTTTACCTGCTTATTCCTTTTCATGTCACGGGGGGTCACTGGTGCCCATTTCCAGCAGTCACTGTGTGAGAGGCGGGGGACACACCCTGGACAAGTCTCCAGTCCATCACAGGGACACAGAGACAAACAACCATTCACTCTCTCACTATTATCTAGGGACAATTTAGAGTTACCAGTCAGCCTAACATGCATGTTTTTGGTCTGTGGGAGGAAACTGGAGTACCTGGAGAAAACCCACGCATGCACGGAGAGAACATGCAAACTCCACGCAGAAAGCCCCACGGCCGGGATTTGAGCCAGTGACCTTCTCGCTGAGAGGTGGCAGCTCTACCAACTGCTCCATCATGCCGCCCTGTCCTAGATTTTTTTTTGTAGTTTTGCTATCAACTATCTGAAGTAAACTTTGTCTTTCTGTTAGCAAAATATCTCATGAACCACGGAAGGTATTTTATTGAAACTGTCAGCTCATAATCATTAGATGCACATGTACAATTGATTGACTTTTGGAGTTAATCCAGTTCAAGATGGTGGCTGCAGCCAACCAGCATTAGCCAAAATAAAGTGTAGCTCAATCAGTTTAATAAATACTGAGCTACGCTTTGACGTGTTAGTAGCTGAATCTTTCACAGTGCAAACTGAGCATGACATCTTGCAATGTTGCATGAGCTCATGCAAATTTTCTCAGCTAAAATGATCCTAATTTAAAACTCGGTCAGAGACAGCAAGTGATATGCATTCCTTTAAGGCATCTAGGCCTTTAAATGTATTTATTCATCTATTCTTTGGTTTTCTGAGCAGGTAAAAGATCTCTTTTCTCATGCTGACGGTGAAAAACACAGACGGGACAAAGAAGCTTTGTTAGCACACTGAACAGAAAATACGTGTTACTTTTATAGGTGCATGTGCAAAATATGCATGTGTGCACACTAATCCACTTTTGAGGTGAGGTCGAAAAAGCTTTCGCATTAATGAACTGCGTTACTTTTATTGTAAAATGTCAAATTCATAGGAAATGTGGGAACAGCAGCTGTGTTGTGCAAGCAGGGACAAAATAATGAAAACCAGGAAGCTCGACTGTTTGTGTCTGGGAAAACCTGATGTAATTTATTCAAAGCAGTAACGGAAATGCAACAGTTTCCTCATTAGTGGCTTTGCACGATGCTCCCAGTTCTTCCTGGTGTCCTTTCAGAGCCAAGACTTCAGCTGAGCAGGTTTAGACCAGGTAACTCGCTTTAAAGTACACGTTGTTCTTGAACGCTGGCAGCAGATCAGCTCCACAGCTGGGAAAGTGGAACCGAGCGATTCTGTAAACTCATTATGAGGAAGGATTCCTTTGAGCGGAGGCGCTTGTGTTGACATTTTTTCTTACGATGCAGGTTTGGGAATGTCATAACTGATGTTCTCTTTAACACATTGTCACCTCATGGTGCTCATTCATGTGCAAGCTCGTTAGGCCACACCAACACCTACAAAGAATCCAACGAGCTACACAAGAACCCGCTTTGCACTTCTCAAGAAAGCTAAATTATTCCGTGAGACTTCTGCTGCATTTTATCCAAGGCTGGTTCTTCAGAAAAGGAGCATAACTCGTTTAAATGAGATCAAAATAGGACGTATTTTTTCGAGCTTTCAAGAAAGCTTTTACTGAAACTTAATAAAAACTTCAAAGCACTTTAAATCCTGTTTGTGACAACCAGCAGCTGACGTGAATGTGAGCTGTGGTTTCCCATCTGGGTTAAAGATGGAGGTTACAGGGTGATTTTAGGGGAAGTGATGAGCTCAGGATGGTGAACTTGTGGTGTGACCTGTGCAGCAATTTCTACTTAAAGTGGTGTAAATGGGACTTTGACGCACCTCTGCAGTGTGGTTTAAAGGACGCCACATAAAATAACTTGGGTCATAAAGGAAGAACAGCTCAAACAAGATGTCATTTCATAGAAAAATATCACTTTTATTATAAATTAACGACACGTTTATACAAATATAAATAAGTGCAAAAATGTCTCGGCCTGTTTGCTTCGTGAAACTTCTCAAGAGATCTTCAAGCATCCTCAGCCAGTAGTTTGGCTGATAAAAATATATATTTATAAAAGATGAATTCATCTTGTAAACATGGTTTTGAGGGAAGATACATTTGAACGACAGCACTCCCCACATCTGGAAGAAACAAATGCATGTACATTCATTCGCAGGCACTGATGGTTCTGTTTGTGCCACAAAGTCAACAAAAACCTCTAAATGTTCATTATTGAAACCGAAAAAAGTGCTCATTCTCTATTTCAGCAGTGGTATCCAGTAAGACCCTACAGGATTCAGTCATGTTCCAACACACTAGGGTGTTCTGGCAAATTTGGCAAAAAAAAAAAAAAAAAAAATGTTTCTGCTCTAAAACCATCTACTAACATTCATTTTCCCATCTGTCTGTGAACATCCAGGGAACATTTGGCTGGAATGTGACCATCCAGGAAAATATTAAACAGCCTCACCCTGTCCAGCTCTAGCTGACAGTTTCCTGAGGCTTGTGCACGCGACCTGAACAGTCTCAAAGGACGCTGGTGAGCAGCAGCATAAAGAACTGTCGTCCAACCGCAGACAGCTGTGAGGTTCACTTCAGTTCTTAGCGAGTCGTACGTCATCAGTGAGGCAGAGGAGTACCGCAGGGTAAACTCTTCTTTCATGTCACCAGTTCACTCTGGCTCCCTCACAACCCAGTCTCTTCTCTGCTACTTTTTGACCGAGCCCGGCGGCTCGGTCTGATCGTCTCTGCTGCATCATTGCTCCTCAGATGCAGACGTCCTCTGGTTTCTTTGACCCCCTTCACGAGAAATCAGTCCAACTTCTTTAGAAACTTTCGTTGTACTCAAAGAGGTACTGCTGCAGAGTACTAGGCAGCTGGCCTTGTTCAGAAGGGGCGCTAGTGTCCCTGTTGATCTGCTTCCTGCACAGATGCTGCAGGGATGCCGTGGTGTGGTAGAGAGGTTTGACCAGCTCCAAGGGGGTGGTCTCCCCTCTGGAGTAAATGTAGGTGGCTTTGGTGCCAACGCCCTGAGGCATGTAGTGCTTGATCAGTTTCAGGATGCAGTCAAAGTGGGGGACGCAGTCGACTTTCTTAGGATCGGTGCTCATGTAAAAAGAGCTATCGTCCACCTGGATGCGCAGGTTCCTGACGCCCAGCGCCGTCTTGACACTGATGGTGTAGAAGTAGTGGATGTCGGAGCTGTCCCGGATGAGGAAGGTGCCGGTGGGCTCGGACTCCAGTAAAACGTTGGCCTGCTTCCCGTTGATGGAGCTGTAGTAGAAGCCACTCTCCTGCAGCCTGTAAAGGGACCGGACAACCATCTTGTGCTGCTCTTTGGAGGTGAAAAGCTTGTAATGGTAAGTGACGTGCATCTTGGGGACACCGAGGTGGCCCATCGCAGAGTCAGCTTTACTGTATGTAACCATAGCACTGCGCCTGATCTGCAGCCCGGAGAGGTGTGAGTTGTGATGCTTGTCTGGGTCGGTGAGGTCAGCTGTGAGGGGAATGGAAAAACCTGAAAAGGGAAAAGAGGAGTTAGTTAAACTTTAATCATTGAGATAAATACATTTTGTTTAGCTGGGTACAGGAAAATAAAAAAAGTCCCATGCGATTTGTAACCACGCTGGGGAAACTTGTGTAGCAGCCCTCAGGAACGAGTCACCGTGGTTAGTTCCAGTAAAGTCAACTAATCCTTCTTGCACAATTTACACGCCGCAGTTTCTTCTATGACCTGTGTCAGTCAAACCATCATGATCTAACTCTTTCATTTAAAACCCATGCATGATAAGAACCGTCTGGACAAAGATGCTCACCTTCAGTGGTTCTCCAAACTTTTGAATTTAAATCCAAACGATCTGTTGTTGGCTCTTCAAAGTTGTGCTGTGTCTTCTGGATCTGAGAAGTAATTTCTTTGTATTTTATAGATCTAGTAAGGCACGCACGCGCTCAGTTGCTGTCAGCCTTTGTGCTTCACTGAGGAGCTCAGAGGCTTTTTTATACCATTCTGAGTCTCCGCCTCCTTCCAGTAAGGCTTCTCTTGGCAGATTGTCAGGAAGCTTTTTTTTTTTTTCCTTTTAGGATTCCTGCTATGAGAAGTGCCCTCCCCTGCCCTTGTTCCTTTAAATTCCAGGCAGCTCATTGTCCTGTCCTCTAAACACTTGAAATATAAAACGTGTTTTTTTAAGCTTTAACAACCAGATATGTCAAAGAAACACACAAGAAGCTATGCTTATTTCTTTTTTGTTGTTGTTGGTTTGTTGATGAAAGTTCTGCTTTTAGGTGTGACGTAATGGTTCAGCTTTGACTGGGACAGTTTGTGTAATGTGTTTCTGAGAAATTCATAGCAACTGTTGCTCACATGCAGACCAGCTGCAGGCCAGATGTGGCCTGTAGAGGGCGCCAGACCAAGGTAACCAAGAGCAACAGCGTATTTTTGTATTGTTACCAAATGTGCTCTTTTTAAAAATAACTGATTTCCCTTCATTGTTTGGATTTACCATCAGTAGACATCAACTTTGTTACAACCAGGTTATTTTATTGATAAAATATGAAACAATGTAACAAATGAGACACAAACTGTCGGGGGGAAGAAAAAAAATACAAAACTGATGGGAAATCATAGTCATGTCAACACATGTGCAGGGAGTGATTCCCAACTTCAACCACACCAAATTTTATCTTAATACTTGTAAAACTGACACGTTTTTGTGTGTCCAGAGTTCAACAAGCTCTGGTGGCCATCTTGAATTAGACTCCAAATGTGATTCACGTTTAGATGTACATCAAATGATTCACTTGTGAAAGTTTTATTCACATCTGTGCAGTGGTTTGTGAGATATTTTGCTAACAGACTAAGTTAAATCCATATAGTTATTGGCAAGGTTTTTAAAGAAAGACTACCACGCTAAATTTAAGCTGTTTCCACTATTCTTTAATTTGACCTCCAAAAAAAGCATTTTATTTGTAAATCTCTTACTTCTTTTTATATATATATATATATTTCTTTGTATCGTTGAATACATCAATGTAAACTCAAAGAGAAGCCGTTTTTAAAATGACTCTTTTCTTTTGTAAGACAAATGTGACTGAGCATGTGCTCATACCATTCATGCATACTCGCATCCTGCTGACTCAGTGGTGACAACCATTACTTACTGGTTACTTTCTAGTCTCCAGGCTAAACGTTGTCATAACTGGGCTTTTCCTCCTCTGATCATACCATAAGGTTAAGGCCTTTAAAGGTTAAACTCATTTTTGAAAACAAACCAGAGAAGCCTCTTACCAAATCGTATGTTTGGTTGCATTCTTTTCTTAAAATCTCTCTCAGAGCTGGGAAAAGCCGAAGATGAGACCTCCTGGTGAGGTTTGGTAAGAACCAGCTGTGCCCTCAGAGGTGCGTCAGGTTTAGTCTCAAACAGACTGTAAGGTGGGGGAAGGGGAGTTGCTACGATAAGGCTCTTAACAGCTCACTTGTTTCCAGAAAATCTGTTGTGTCATCACTGTGAGGCGTCTATTAAGCATCGAGCGTCTCCCAAGGGTGTATAATCGTGGTCAATGGAGAGAAAAAGGAGCCGCGTGTGTTTAACGGAGCTGGAAATGTGAAACCCCTGATGATACGTTAGCTCAGCGCGTGGAAACCTCCACAGATCATATTACAGTGTGCTGACGAGGCTTGTGTTGTAGTTTTTAATAGAATGTGCACGTTTGATTGAGCGGAACGGACGAGCAACAAGAGCAAACGGCCTTTAAGTGTCAAAGCTGGAAGGAAACCCGATCAATTGGAAGACATAAAGCAAAGGTCAGACATGAAATATTTGATCCACCAGGTGATCCAGCTGATGAAGTCACTGCTAGCTGCTGGGCTCCAACCAAACATCTGTGGGTCACAGACTTGACCCCTAAGTTCAGGCTTTTGTGCATTTTCTAATCTAAACATTAAATCTAGAGGGATTTAGTTTTTGTCCAGGTGTGTTTTACTATTAGTAAAATATCTAATGACTCAGCAGACAGATTTTAATTAAACTCTCAAAAATTATCCACTGGATACACATCTACATCTGATTAACTTCTGGTGTGAGCCCCATTCAAGAGGGCCGCCAAAGCTAAGCAACCTTGACGAACACAAAAATGGCTTTAACGCAGCTAATTTTACATCTACTGCGCTCAGATTTGGCATTTCAGTAGCTTAGAGTCAGCCCCACAACATACTCTGAGTTTACATTGATTACGCAAGATCTGTTTTTTAAAACTTGAACATTAAATATAGGTATGAACCATATCTGTCTGTTAGCAAAATATCTCATGGACCACTGGATTGATTTTAATGAAACTCAGAGAACTCATTCATTGGATGTACATCTAAAAATGTTTTACTTTTGGAGTCAATTCAACTTAAGATGGCCACCCCAACCAAAGTGACTTTAAAAAAACACCAAATTGGCCATAACTTGGTCGATTTTACAGATTTTGAGTTCAAATTTGGCGTGGTAGCAACTGTAAAAGTCATCCTCACTTACTCTAAATAGAGCTATTCAACGGACAGCCCGGGGGCCAAACCAGGCCCACGGGTGTGCTCAGTTAGGTCCACCAATGGGTTCATTTTTAAATAAAACTAGATTTTAAATGATAAAACAAGCTCACATAATAATAAATTGCTGGATGTCCAGCCCTGGAGCTCTGGGTGTTCAGTAACTGTGGACCTTTAGCAGTCTAGTTGAACAGCCCTGCTCTAAACCCTAACAGATCACATGAGATCTTGCAATGTCACACATGAAAACATAAAAACATTATCCGTCTCTTCCCAGAATAAGATTAGCACGGTTTAAAACGGCAGCAGGCGATAAGCATTTCTTAAAGAAATGCAACTTGTCTTCAGGCTCATTTAGAAGCATTTTTTTTTTTCCCACTGGATGTAATTTTACTATTTTAAAACGTCCCATAGACGGTTACATGAATAAAACAAAGCGTTGCACGCACTCGCTTGTTGGTTCAAACATCTGTTTAGTGAAAAATGCTTAGGTTTCCCCACACTGACTCAGAAATTTACCCTGGCTGATGATTCCCGACAAGCCGCTGGCGATGAGGGCAGGAGAGCAGGAGAGCATAGCTCGCGACTGGAAAGAGCAGAGCAATGTTATTCCACTAAATATTTAGGAACTGCTTGTGCTAGCAGGAGTTTGCTCTGTGGGGTTTAGTGTGTGGCGTTGGCAACAACAAAGGCCTGATGTTTGCACAGCTGAACGCAAGAATTAACAGAATATGTAAGTGCATATTTTTCAGCATTATGCGCCAGCTGGTTGGTGTGAATTTAGATGAGTTTCCGCTAAAAATCCAGTTTTAAGTGAAAGACTATAAGAGGAAATCAAGTTTTCCCAGCAGAGATTCAAACTCTGTTGAGCTCAGAAGTTCCTGGCACTTCATCAGCACATCCAATTCCTGTTACAGCTGCTGTCATTTCCGGTCTCCACCTGCAGTTTTTCTTGTTTCGGAGTCACACAATCTTTGCTTTAGAGCGTTTGCTATGCATATCTGCACCGAAACTTCCCTGTTCGTTAGGCAAGACCGCGTCTCTGTGACTGCTGATCAGTCAGTTTCCTGGTAAGGCTCCGTCTCGCTGTCTCTCTGTTGGATGCTGTGTCACATTTTTTGCAAGTTCTCTTGAATTGTGGGAAGTGTCAACACAGATGAAAACGCCACAACATCCAGAGGAAACACACCCAGTTCTGCAGGAAGAAAACGTTGCACGACTTGTCCTTCTTAACTGCTAACGAGTAAAAAGAGTAATGGCGTGAATGTTTATGAAGCATTCATACAGCTGTGATCCATTTTTATTCTGTACATTTTTCGGCGCAATTCTCGTCCCGCAGTTTTCAAGCTGTTTCAACAAATCATGTAGCAAAACATTCAGCTCTTTCAATCCTGCTGTGACTTTTCCTATTGGTGCAACTTTAGCTTGTTGAAATGTTTAGCCTTTTCTGCCACTTTTTTTCTCATAGAAAATGAACTGAGCTCATTTTACATCCTTCGTATCTTTAGATTTGTTTACAACCTTTTACTGCTCCTTTCACATTTTGTTCTGGTTCCGCTTCTTTCAGCTTCCTTGTGCAAATTTTAACTTTTTTCCAGCTAATTTCAGCTGTTTTTCCAGCTGTTTTGTGCTCTTTTCAGAGTCTTTCTGCTAGCTACAACATTTTTGTGCTTCTTCTAACTTCTTTCTGCTAATTTTAGCTTGTTATGTTCCTTTCAGTTTTTTTTCTGCAAGTTTCAGCTTTTTCTACTATTTCAGCTACTATTTAGCTGTTTTTATGCTAATTTAAGCTTTTTCAGTTACCGGTAATTCCACATTTTGTGCACTCATTTAAACCCTTTTCAGTCCGATTAAGCAAAACTGTGCTCGTTTCACTTCCTTCTTGTAATTTCAGCTTCTTTCTGCTTTTGTAGCTACTGTTCAGCTGTTATTTTGCTAATTTCAGCTTATTTTCAGATAACTTCAATTTTTGTGCTCATTTCTGTTTCTTTTAGCCTAACTGTGCAAACATGTGTTCTTTCTGATTTTTTAATGCTATTTAAGCTTATTCTATCTTTTCAGCTACCTTTTTAGCATTTTTAGCTAATTTCAGCTGTTTAAAGATAAATTTAAGTTTACTGTAGTCATTTCTGCTACATTCAGGCTAATTAACTTGTTTATGCTAATTTCAGCTTGTTATGCTTATTTCAGGTTTTTTATGCTAGTTTCTGCTATTTCAGCTACTATTTAGCTGTTTTATGCAAAATTTTGCTTTTTCAGCTAATTCTACCCTTTTTGAACTGATTTCAGCTCTTTCCGCTTCATTCTGTTAGTTTGAGCTTCTTTCTGTCTTTTCAGCTATTTTTGCTTATTTTACTTTTTTTAGCTAAATTCCTAAATTTTGTGCTTATTCCAGCTTATATAAACCTAATTCAGCAAATATGTGTTCTTTCTGCTTTCTTCTGCTACTTTAGGCTTGTTC